TTTATGTATCAATCACACTTTGTTCACAGTACTGTATGCATCTTATCACATTTGTGTCCATTTCAGCTATATCAATCATACTTTGTCACTGCTTGCATCTATTTCACACTTTGTGTTCGGCTTTTAGTGTATCAATACACACTCTGTTCCAACAGTGCATCTATCACACTTTGTGTTCCCTTTTAGTAATAATCTATCATACTTGCCACTTAGTGCATCTATCACACTGTCGTGTTCGCTTTCAGATATATCTATTCATACTCGTTCACTAAGTGCCCATCTATCACACTCGTGCTTCACTTTAGTGTATACAATCACACTCTGTTCACATAGTGCACTATCACACTTTGTGCTCCATTTTTCAGTATATCAATCATACTTTGTTCACAATGTGCATCTATCCAACTTTGTGTCGCTTTTAGATGTATCAATCACACCTGTTCACATAGTGCACTATTCACACTTTGTGTTCCCTTTAGTTATCTAATCATAACTTGCTTACTAAGTGCATCGCTATCTAACACTTCGTGTTTGCTTTCATGTATATCTATCCATACTTGCTCACCTTCAAGTGATCTATCAACTTTCTGTTCGCTTCAGATATCTATCATCTTTGTTCACTTAGGCGCATCTATCACACTTTGTTGTCACCTTTAGTGAGGAATATCTATCATATGCCTTAGTTCAACTATATACTGTGTCATCATCTCGAGCGTCACTACATCTTAGTGTTCTATCCACGTCACACTTCCATGTGTATCTAATCACATGCGCCTCTGTACAATCACGTTCTCTGGTACCCACACATCGCTTCAATTGTGTATCTATCACACCTACATTGTTGCTCATATGAGTTTATCTACCATGTCTCCGCTTTGATGTATCATTCACACCCTTCCCCCCCCCCCCACCTTTTGTCTGTATCACCACAAACTAACTTTGCTTGTAAGTTTTAAATCTATCACACAACAGTTGTGGTGTATCTAAGAATGTCATTCGATGTCATCGAATCCACTCTGTTTCAAGATGGCTATGCTCAGGTGTTTCCTAATCACCATGCTGTTCACTTGTGTATCTATCACAACTTTGTTCACTTTTTTGTGTATCTAACGCACATTTCGTGAGAAATGCCATAATTCTCTACAATCTTTCTGCAATGATATGTAGTGCTTGGTTCAATGTCTACTTGCCTGCGCATAGTCATTCGCTTAAAAGAGTTGTCATTATATTTCATAATTGCTTCATTCGCAGCTACTATCGCGCTATTTTTGCGCATCGCACTAGTCTTGTGCAGTTCAACATTCGCGCTTATTTGCGCGATCGCACTGTTTTCGTGCAGTATTACATTCGCGCTATTTTTGACGCACCTCACTTGTACTGTTTAGTACATTGCATTGTTGTGAGTGCAAACTGGCTTCGCGTGGCGATAAATACCAAGTATATTCCTGCATATCATTTGCATCCTCCCTGAACTACGCCTGGTTACGATTCCTTGCAAAGGGAATACGTAGGCAGCCTGTGGGCAAACCATTATTTCTCTATTTTGTTTTGTTTGCCAATCTTCGGCTTTGGTCAAAAGTCGTCTCTGGGCCTTTGACATTCACTCCCGTCATTGTTATGACTTTCGAGTTCTAGTCAAGAGGGGCCAACTGTAACACCCATTTTTGAACCGCCCTTAAGACTTTGCACTACTGGATGGTTTGCTCAGTGTTGAGAGATGTGTGCAGGGCAAAGATTCAGTTTTCTTCGGCAAGAGAGGGCAAAATCCTCAAAAACTTTGTTTAGGGGTTGGAGTTGAAGAAGAGATTGAAAGGAGAGGAGAAAACTTAGTTTGGGAAAAGTTCGGCCATGAATCGTGGTAGAAGCAAGTGAGCAGCCTCGCTGGAATCGGGCTTATCTTATCTGTACACTTGAGTTTAGCTATGGCAACCACCATCGGAAAGCTTACTTCCGGCGGCCTTCATTTTTCACTCAAGAATTTGTTTAAAGCCCAAAGTCCGGGTGGGAGATATGATTGTTGAGTTGGTGATCATTCCCGGTTGGATCGAATCTGCCCGGGCTTCACCAAAATGGGTCATAACTTTTTCCACAGGAGGAATTTTTATGCCAAGGATTTGCGGCATTGGAAGCTAACTTCCTGGGGGCTTCAATTTGGACACCAATATGGCCGTTTTGACCGCACCGGCCAGTCCACGGCACTATATTATCCGCCGCAATTTATTGTCGCGACCGGCCACTTATTTTGCTGACACGGCATTTTTGCTAAAGCCGAACGACCTTCCGGGCATTTCTGCCAGATTGAGTGGATTCCAGCTGTGCCAGCTCGGAATGCACAGAATCGAATCCCCCACGGCACTATGTTGTGTTTGTTTTGCCCTTGTGAGCCTTTGAACCCCTTAACCTTCTTAGAAAGCTGAACCTTTGGCCAAGCTTCTGGAGAAGCTTGGCCAGCATGTTTGAGCTTCCTCTACGAAGCCTTGCACCCCCTTGAAACCCCTTATTGGACCGTTTGCTTACTAGCTGTGTTAAGTCGTAGAATGCTTCCCAGAGCCTTATATAAGCTGATTCCTCTCCCTTTTGTCTAGGATTGGATGTCAAGCCAAAAACTAAGAGCAAAAAACTAGAGATACATACAAGTATCATATCTGATATACCATACATACAACCCCTTGATCTCTCTCCATATCTCTCTCATTCAACCATCAAACACCCCTGTTCTTGGGCCATTTCTTCATAAACTCATAGCACAGGCATCCAACGCCCATCTTCCAGTAGCTTGAGGCTGTTCTCCAAAGCTTAGGAGCACCTAAACTTGGTCCAAGAGGTGCTAATTTGCTGGTCTTCAAGGGTGAGTCCTCATCTTCCCTTTTCTAGCCTTTTTTGCTTTCAATATCTAAGCCATAGTTTCTTGCACTTTGGGCTCCGACTCGCAACTTCAATCATCATATTTTGAGGTCCTCTTCATGTTTGATTGAGGACCTCTTGCTGTTTAGGACAGTAGCTAGCACTTCCTTCATTAGCCCTCTTTATGACATAATTTTGCATAATATTTTTGGCTTGCGTGTGATCTGTTTTGAGGCATGTTATAAACTGTGAAGTTGATTTATTTTGAGCCCTTCTTTCAACATTGAAAGAAGGGCTCAACACTGTTTTGGATACTCTATGTGCTACTTGCTTTGAAATCCATGTGTAGCCCCGTTTTTGTATGCCATTTTAGCCCCATCTTTGCTTGCTGTTTGGCCATGCAACTAAACTGTAAAAATGCTTCTCTCAGGGCTGCCTTGCTTCTGTCTTCATGCTCCATGTCCATTTATGCATGCTTTGTATAGCTGTAAGCCATTTCATATGCCTAATTTTGCATTTCGGGGGATTCATTCCATGCGTTGAGTGTTTCGTTATGTTTCGGGGCTGTTTCGCACAACGCATATCACTCTGAAGATTCGCATGAAAATTGTCCATGTTTGTGCCTTTAAATGCGTCGAAAAAGCAGGCTTCATTATGCTTAAGTCTTGGACCATGTATCTATGCATGTTTGCATGTCATTTTGCCTTCCGTGCACTTAGCATTTTTGGCCACTGTTTTGGGCCTAAACTAGAGCTTCCTAATTCATGTTTAAGACCTCCTGTTGCTTAATTTGCATGTCTCACCTTGCATGTTTGCTTGTATCGGCATGTTGCATCCTTAGCTTGTATGCAAAGTTGCATTGCATCTTGCATGCATCACTTCTCTCCTGAGATGAGTATGATAGAGGTTAGGCCCCCCCCCCTTGTGTGTTTTTTGGTTTGCATGCATTTTGAAATTGAAGTTGCGACACTTGATCTTTGGGCCATCATGCATGGAAATGCGTGATTGGTGGTCCGAGAATCGGGGCACATCCTCCTTTGGTCATTTTACCTGCTTATAATGGTAGATTAGGGCACGTTTAAATTAGCATACTTATGCTATGCATGTGTGCATCCATTTGTATTGCATGCATTAAGCTCGGTACATCACGCTAACTGCATTTGTACTTCAATTCAAAAATTGAATACGTGATAGTTGATCGCATTTCATATGCCATGTTTAGGGTTTAGCCGAGCCTCCTAGATTGCATTTGCATGTGATGGCATTTAGCCATTTTTAACATGAACTAGACACGCAGTTTGTAACTAGTTGTAGCTGTTTTGGCACGGAGTACGATGTAGTATTTACGTTTTAGCATCCTGCATGTGTGTGAAGTGTTGCCATGACAGTATGCCTGCCATGCGGCTATGCTTATGTGTTAAACTATTTGAATTTGCCTGTGGGTGGAGGTTGGATGTTTGAGTGGAAAAACTCATTGAAATCCGTATTTTAGCCTACTTGCCGAGTAGCAAATTCCAAAGCATTTTCAAAACGAACGGATTATGCAATCGTTTCTTTCCAAAAATTAGGCAATCTATAAACTTTGCTGCGCGCATAAACATAGTAATTCTAGCCTAACAATTGGTTTAGGAACACATAACATTTCAAATTGGTATCACGGTTAGTAGAGGCCGGTCTTCAGACCGGGCGAGAGGGAGTGCTCATAGCTGACCTTCCCCGATCGTACCCAAGTTCCCGAGCCCGAGGAACTTTGGTGATGACGGACACGTGGCCTCGGCACCCGAGTCAGGGTTTCCTAAATTTCCACCGAACCACATGAAAGACGATCATCAACAACACACAAACAACGACGACCATCGTACCATTTAAACTCTAATTACTCCATTTCTCTCTCTCTCTCTCTCTCTGTATAGCTTTCGCATTTCATTGCCAGACCTCAAATCGAGCTCCGAGACCTGAATGATTCCTCTGAATTGTTATCCTCTCTAGATTTGGGCATTGGACAACAATGGAGCCATTGATGGAGCTCTGCGACTTGATTGCGCAGAACCCAAACCAATTCGCCGAGAAACTCACGTGGATGTGCGGCAGATGCCCTCAGCCTGAGGCTCTCCAATCCGGATCTCCTAGGGTTTCTCGTGCTCAGCTCAATGCCGTCGTCGCAATCGCTAGATTTCTCTCTAAATGCCCTAATCACAGCCATCACCGCTCCCAATCACTGGTTATCGAGTTTCTCCGCACTATTCCGGCTTCCTTCTCCCAATCTTTCTGGCCACAGTCCTTCGGAATCGATTCTATTGCTTCTTTTTATGCCGATTTCTTGGCTTATGTCTCCAAGGCCACAGATTTGTCTTCAGATTTCGCCGCCGATGTTGCTTGTTTCATGGAAGATATTGTGATCTCTGCTGTTGCCAATGTCAATGGAGAATTGGGGATTTCTCGGGCTTTCTTGGGAGCTCTCTCACAGAGTTTCCTCCCCATTCTTGCTTCTGACGCTGATAAATTGGTTTCGTGTCTTCTTGATCACTTTGTGAGTTACGTCCCTAATTCTCCGGCAACCCCGGAGCCATCGTCTTCTCAGAGTTCACCTATGACTGCAAACTATTATCAAACGAACGAGAATTCTAGTCCACGACTCGACGTGAGCAATGCCTATGGTTCATCCAGCAGTTCTGCGTCAAGAGGATCGGTGATGAATGGTGGTAGCATAGGCTGGAAGAGCAATGTAGATCAGTTGGTTGCAAGTATTGGGAGCGTTGGGTTCAATGACGGAGGAGGAGGAGGAGGAGGAGGCAGTGCCACGGCCTATAGGCGATTGGTTGTCACCTTTGAGGAGGAGCCTGTGGAGAGCCTTGAGAAACAAGAAATTGCGTTCAAATTGATTACTCACATCCTAGATAAAGCACACATTGATCCCAAGCTATTGGAGCAGGTGAGGATTATTGCGAAGGAGCAGCTCCAGTCAATGTCTTCTTTTCTAAAGGTAAGATTTTTGGGCATACTATCTTCAATTCTCGTGTAATATTCTGTCGAATTTAACTTCTTGAAGAACAGGTAAAATTGAAAATGAAAGAACTGGTTCAATTGTTTGCTTTTGTGGCAGATAAGGAAGCGGGACTGGACCGAACAGGGACCTCTATTGAAAACTAGAATCAATACAAAACTTTCTGTTTTCCAAGCTGTAGCTAGGTTAAAAATTAAAAGCCTTGCATCCATCGATTCTGATGGAAAGTTGTCAAAGAAGTTGTTGCTTGGTACTCTTGCACTGTTGGTAGATGCTGCTGAAGCTTGTTTATTTTCAGTATGGCGAAAATTGAGAATATGTGAAGAGCTATTCAGTTCTTTGCTTGCTGGGATTGCCCAAATCGCTGTCACTCGTGGAGGCCAGCTGCTACGGGTTTTGCTCATTCGCCTTAAACCCCTTGTGCTAGCCACATGTGCCCAGGTACATATATTGTTTTGTTTGAGAGCTAGCTTGTCTATCCAATTCACAGTGCAGTAAACTGTTTCTGCACATTCTTTTTCTGGACAGGCTGACACTTGGGGCAACAGCCAGGGAGCCATGTTCGAGAGTGTATCGAAAACAAGCTGTGAGATAATTGAATTTGGTTGGAGCAAGGACCGGTCTCCTGTGGACACTTTTATCATGGGATTAGCTACAAGTATTCGTGAACGAAATGATTACGACGAAGAGGTTAGCCTTATATTGCTGCTTATTGAACAACAAAAACATAAAATGTGCACACGCGTAGACACAAACACATTTATGAGCACATGCATGCCATTTGTGAGTTTTTGAATGCTTATGGATGCTTGTCCCTTTGTGTGAAAGCACACAATTCATCATCTTTCATTTTCTTTTACTTTTTTAATATGCAATTACATCATCAGTTGTTTACTGTTGAAGCTGCTTTTAGCTGACATTGCTTACCTCTCCAAGCCAATATCAGATGAAGTCTGTCTCTTATCTCTCTCTCACACACGTGCACACACATTATTTTTGATAAGTACTTATCACATACCATTTTGCTGGTTTTCCTTGTAACTTGTAAGAGTTATTATTTCAATGCTTATGTGGTTCGGATAGCTCTGTACAAGCTTCTGCAAACACAAGGCTTTGTTTGGCAAGATGGATTGAACCTTTAGATAAAGGAAAAGTAGAAAGGTTCCCATGTCTTTGTTCCCTTTGTTTAAGCGTGAAGGAAAGGAGGAAGGAACGAAAAGGGTGGTGCTTTATCTACCGTTAAACTTGTACAGGTTAATATGATGATGACACTGTTTGATCATTGAAGGGAAAAATGAAAAAGAAAAGTTTCTTCCTTTCAATTCGCATTCGAGTAAAAAGGAAATGGTGGGCCAGTAGAGAAACTCCATCTTTTCCTCTTCCCTTTTCCCTTTATTTATAATGAAGGATGGAAAACCCTCTCCTGCCCTTTCTTTTCCTTCCGTCTTTGTATTCCTCTTACTGTTTTCCTCCCAAGATTGTGAGACATTGATCGTGTTAAGGATTTTGAGGTCAAAAGGTGTAGAGATGTTATTTTGTCATCTTCAATTTGTCGAGGTTGATAGGATCAGATTGGAAGCTTCTTGTTCTGTAGTAGGAGGTGAAACTATCACTTCTATGTTTTATAAGAAAGTAGAGTTTGAATCTAAGTTGTTCGGTAAATGTTGTGAAAGCCATTGGGACTTTGAAGATTAACAGGGATGGAGAGTCTATCACTAATGTTAGTATGTGAATCTAGAATGCATCATATTCCTTGAATTCTACATGACAACATTTGTGGCTGGCTTTCATGTGCTTAGTCTTCCCTTTGGAGGTAATTGTTACAAGCTAGATTCTAGAGCTGATATGACAGCAAAGTTGGCCACTTGGAACTAAGTTCATATTGCATTAGGGGGGATGGCTTTGATTTTGCTTGTTTTTGCTGAACTTTTATTTCTTGTAGATCCTCACATTCCACTGAAAGTGGAGTTTGAGAATTGAGAAGACTTGACATTTATTTTAGTTGGGGTGTGGAATAGAAAGAAGTTTAGGGGTGTGGCATGTATGTTGCCTGAATTCAAATGGAAGTTGGTTTTGAATTGACAATTTGGCCCTTGACATAGTAGAATGGTAAAGGGGATTTGTGTAATTGACTCAAAGAGATTGAGTTGATTTGAGTTGCATGTGTTGCTTTTTGGTTCTCCTCTATGGTGCTATGTATTATGGTGACATTGAGACTCACTTTTGGAAGTGAGATCATAACTGGCTTTAATTCTAATCTAGAATGACTTTTCGAGAAGGTGTTGTCTTCAAAGTTCTATTAATGCACTTTGCGAAAGCCTTAATCTTTATTGTGTATTTTACTTAAACTGGATATTGGATCATGGTCTCAACTCCCAAGTTTTTGATCTGATGGGAATTGTTCTTTCTATGAAGCCGTTGCTTTGCTTTTATTCTTTTCTTTGGAAGATAATTTGTAATGACTATTTATGTATGTTTCTACTAGGCTTTAGAGTTCTACACTTGAGAAGTGGTCAAACTTTTGTTTCTATGTAACTCTGGTGTTTTAAACTTCTGTAATTGGTATAAATTTGGTTGCTTTTGTGATAGAAAAGAAGTATCGACGCGTGAAATCTCAAAACTAAACTATAATGTATGGATTTCCATTTTCTTTTTCTTTGGTGAGTTATTGTAAAATTTCAAATAGGGGAATATCCACTTGATTGGTAAGACCGATAGATGCAACAATAAGGAAGAGTGATAGGATCACCATAAATCGAGATGATAGGGGAAAGGGAAGACCTAAGTTGACATGGGATATGGGAGTGAAAAATATGGATTTATTTAACTTAATTGAACTTATAGCCCCTTTATAGAGCTGAATAGAGAAAAAAAGGATTCATGTAGCTGACTTCACTTGATTGGGACGCAAGGCTTAGTTTGTTTTGTGTTGGTTTAATTTGGCTTGATTTGGCTATGAGTTTGGTTATTATTTTGGAAATTTGTATGTTTAGTGGCTTAGCTCTTGTGAGTTTTTGTAATAATCCGTGTGAATATGTAGAGGTTCTTTACAGCAAATGACCTGCAATCTAATCTCCTATGAGGTATTTCCTTCTTTACTAGTATATGTTGGTATATTGAACCAGCTTTCTCACATAAAACACCTTTTGCACAAACTCATGCGGCTTACTTGTCAGGGTTTAGGTCTTGTGTATATTTGATGGGTTTCTATTCCAAGATAGGAGAATATTTACGTTGTTTTGTTTCGAAGTGTAATCTTTTCTTTACATTTGGCACTTTCTTGACTGGGTATTCTACTGCAGGTTTCACGTGGACAAAATGTCTTCGGCCCATGTTTATGTGAGAGACTGCACAAGGGTCAGACAATTGATGATATATCTGAAGGTCTTTTGGAAGATTGTGCTCAACTAGTCAAGGCGAATTCCATCCAAGGCAAATGCTTCAAACACTTACTATTTTGTGCTTTAACCGTAGCGAGCCATTAGATAACCCTTAAGTCAACTATCCGAGTGTCAAAGAAGTTAAGGAGTTTCACCTTATTATGTTCCTTGAAGATGGAAACATGCAACCATCCCCTAACAACACTCTCCTTCACTGAGTAAATTTTACTTCTAAGTTATTTCTTACAGGAAAGTGTGATCACATATTAAGCTGGTGCAGTTTTGGTGTTCTCTTGATCTGAGCGGTTAAAGAACTTGGCCCAGAATTGTAGTACTTGGAATATAGGATCATTAATAGGTAAAACCATGTAATTAATAGATATTATGATTGGAAGGAAATACGAAGAAACTTAAGTGGCTAGGTGAAAATACGAAGGAAAAAAATTTGGGTTTGAAATTTATTATACTGGTCAAGATGGAAATAAACATGGTGTAGGAATAATTGTAGCTAAACATAAGATAGTAACAATCACAAAAATAGGAGAGAAAAATAAATAAATAAATTATAATTGGAGAAATTATGGTTAATGTGATTAGTGTCTATACACCCCAAATAGGATTGGAGGAATATACTAAAAAGACAATTTTGGGATCATCTAGATGAGTTGATGCAACAAAAACTTGTTGAAGAGCAGATAACTATAGTTTTATGATGGAATTGTGCATTGTCAAGTTAGTCTACCCAATTTTTCTAACTTACTATGACATAATGTCTTAGATATTCCTCCAGCAATGCATTCATCCGCTCCGCCTGACCATCAGTTTGTAAGTAGTTTGCTGTGGAAAATTTCAACTCTGACCTGATCAGATTTGAATAATTTTGTCTAGAACCGCTAGTAGAGCGAGTGTCCTGATCACTCACAATATCCTCCAGTACTCCAAGAGATTTTAATTAGGTTAAGTGTATGAAAAGTGAGCATTTGAGGGTGCTGGGGCCAGATGAGAAGAGTAAGGAAATCTGAAATAAGTGTTGATGGAAGAATAAAGGTTTTATTGTCTAAAGGCTTCGTGTTGGAACATACTATTTTAGTAATTTTTTGGTTTTTGAAGAAAAGATGTGCAGAGATGTAAAGAGAGCGATGTGACAATTTATAGTGACTTTTTGATTAAAATTGAAAGTTGCCAAACGAGGCCTTAGAGTTTGAGGTGGAATTTGAATTGAAGAAGATGAAATCAAGTAACCTAGTAGGACCAGATTCTATCCTTATTGAGGCTTAAAAATGCTTAGGTAAGAAAGGAGTATCTTGGTTAATAATTTTTTTAATAAGATTCTAAAGACTAAGATAATGCTTGACAATTGAAAAAAATATTCTAGTGCTTGTGTATAAATATAATATAGATATCCAAAATTGCAACAATTATAGAGGCATTAAGTTAATGAATCATACAGTGTAATTATAGGAGAGAGTGCTTGAACATTGCTTAAGAGCTACAACATTATTAGAGAATCAATTTGGATTTATGCCTGATAGATCAACTATTGAGATGGTTTTGTCATGTAAAACGAATACCTATTGATGCAATGGTAACGAAGAAAGATATGATCACCATAAATGGAAATGTTAGGGGGAGAGGAAGACATAAAGTGATGTGGGATGCGGTAGTAAAAAAAGATATGAATATTTAATTTAATTGAGCATATACCCTTTGGTAGAGTAGAATGGTGAAAAAAGATTTGTGTAGCCGATCCAACTTGATTGGGACGTAAGGCTTAGTTTGTTTTGTTTTGGTTTGGTTTGGTTTGGTTTGGCTTGATTTGGCTGTGAGTTTGGTTAATATTATTTTGGAAATTTGTATGTTTAGTGGCTTAGCTCTTGTGAGTTTTTGTAATAATCTGTGTGAATATGTAGAGGTTCTTTACAGCAAATGACCTGCAATCTAATCTCCTATGAGGTATTTCCTTCTTTACTGGTATATGTTGGTATATTGAACCAGCTTTCTCACATAAAACACCTTTTGCACAAACTCATGCGGCTTACTTGTCAGGGTTTAGGTCTTGTGTATATTTGATGGGTTTCTATTCCAAGATAGGAGAATATTTACTTCGTTTTGTTTCAAAGTATAGTCTTTTCTTTAAATTTGGCACTTTCTTGACTGGGTTTTCTACTGCAGGTTTCACGTGGACAAAATGTCTTCGGTCCATGTTTATGTGAGACTGCACAAGGGTCAGACAATTGATGATATATCTGAAGGTCTTTTGGAAGATTGTGCTCAACTAGTCAAGGCGAATTCCATCCAAGGCAAATGCTTCAAATTCTTACTATTTTGTGCTTTAACTGTAGCGAGCCATTAGATAACCCTTAACTAAACTATCTGAGTGTCAAAGAAGTTAAGGACTTTCACCTTATTATATTCCTTGAAGATGGAAAC